GTCGAAAATTTCAAGCTCCGGCTTAGAAATGGTCAAGCGCCGGCTTAGAAATGTTTGAGGATCGGCAGAGCGGCGGCAGATGGCGTAATCGGTTGATCGTTCAAGCGAAACTAACTACCGGTAGCCCGGGTTCCGGCATCTCGTCGCATCCGCTTGGGAGGTTAGTTAGTTAGCCCTCATGCATGCATCCAACACGCCCAAATCCATGCATAGTTTTCTGCTCGTCGAATCTCAATAACAAGACCAAGGTACCAGTATCATCATCTGCCGAACCCGTGGGCTCCTGGGTTTCGTCGAACGTCATCGCTCGCCCGCCTCGCGTATGCAGCTCCGCAGGGCTAACATCGCCGCCCTGAAGGACTTGGCACCGACGTGAGTACTCTACCTATCAAGGTAGAAAAGTGTCTGCGGTCGTTACTCGAGACATGCTCGAAGGGCTCTTGTTGATATGCTATGAAGGTGGGCTAGAGAAACCGACCTATCAGGAGCTGATGCAATTGGTGGGAGACGACGGCCGGGGCGCAATATATCCGGTTTCGCAAGTTGTGTGTGATTAACGCCCTCCCCGCGCGGTGAGTCCAGTCCCTGCAAGTGGATTCAGCGGACAGCGTCTAGTTTACTAGAGCAGTGAGAGTCCCGCGACGGGTATGGACAACTGATGAACTGATTCAATTAGGTGAAAAGCAACGGAAGAAAAGGAGGCCTATCGTCTATGAACCTTTTGAGGATATCTGTGGTGGTTGATAATAGGTGCGTCTGATGTATTGAACAAGAGACTGACCGACTATGTAGACGAACATAAAAGCAGTATCAGAGGACATTTCAACGTTGAGAGACGGCATCAGGTCTACCCGCCTTCACATCTTGGTCTCACCATAGTTACCGCCGCTCGCCGCCCGCCGCTTACTGCAACACGGAGGCGCCCCCGCCCCGAATCCCACACTAGGGAGCTCAGTTTGACTCAAGAGAGGGACGGCGATGGCTACATGGACGGTCTATTGCACGCCGTCCCGTCTCGGGCCGAACTGGACGGTCTGCCGAAGGCTGGCGCTGCGAGTTGAGCGTGGGTGCTCGCCCTCTGATCCGGCCGTCTCGGCTTAGAACAGAATAGGCAGCATAAATAAGCATTGCACTTAACGAGTCGGATATGTTCAAGCAAGTACGTTACGATGGTAAATCTCTGGATTCGAAATAGCAGAGTCCACGAATGTACGGTAGTAGGCAAGACTTCGGGACTTTGGTTCTCATGTTCTACAGTCTACAGGGCTGCATCGCCACTACCAGAACGGCAACCCATCCCAACCCGACAGCTACACCTCATGTAACAACCACTCCCACTGGTTACCCCTTAAATTCAACCTCATCCATCACTTGGATCGTAACTTTAGACTTAGAGTTCCAAAATGGCCACGCGACTCCACTCAACCCGGAAAATCTCCAAAAGTAGGCCAGAATATGTCCAAAGAATTTGCGGAGAGAGTTGTTCTCTTGGTTCGTGGCTACAATCTAGTGAATTTTGAAAGTTTTTCACGCTTGTGATTGAGGTTTTAAACGAGAAGAGGCGCGAGAGATCTTCGCCATCTGGCAAGTCGCAATTTCAGATACAAACTTGCCCCATTCAGCACAAAAATCGTCACCTAAATAATGAATACTCTGGGGGCAAAGAGATGATACATTAAAAGCCCTTGACGGTCATCAACTTTCCAAAAGACAAAGCACCGATGAATAAATGCTGCCGCACGGTATATCACTCGCTGAAACCTGGCAGACAGATAAATCACACCTCTGATGTCTCAAAACAAGTCCTGGAAGCCCTGATTTCACCAATCTTTCTCTACAGCACTACTCTATCGCATTCCAAACGTCACATCGCCAGCTGCCCTGTCGTGGAAGGCTATAGAAGCGGTCCAAGTGTCCAAATTCTTCTCGAGGAGACGACATTTTTATTCTTCCATATTTACCTCTGAGGGTTGCTTATGATCTTCAGTATTGCTACGAAAGGTAACCCAGAATAAATCCTATTTTTAAAAATGTTACGATGGCATAGACCGCCGGACAAAAATTAGCCTCGTTTTGAGATGACGAAAAATGTCGACATTTGCGTCCAAAACCCAATGATCGCGTAAGGTCTGGGGGGCGCCGCTGCGTCACATCAATTTCTAGAGTGGCTACATCATATTTTATGAGTTCTAGGGGTTGAGGGCAAGGGTCATGTGGTGGTGGGCCAGTATGGTCGTGGAAAGTTAATTTGCGCTTCTGGGTGGAAAGCTAGCCTTAAACCATCATTAGAACTACCATAATATGATTGAAACCCTTTATTCGTATCTAAAGAAAAACTCTATCTAGTCACAGCCCTACTCCGGGGTGTTGGTGGTGCGACTGGGTGGGTGGAGGAGTGGCCATTTCTGAGGCGATTTTGGAACTCCAGCGCGTTACGATCCATAGGATAGCACTGATGATAACGGGGGGTTCTTTGCCGCCACCAGCAGCTGCAAGAAGTCGAGAGTAATAGGAACGAGGTTGAACTTCACTGGAAGATTCTTTCGCAACTCTGTTGGAATACCTACATATATGAGTAGTGGCACCGCCGCCGAGGAATTACACCGTGGGAATCCGCGGTTACGCTTAAGGTGCAAATTTCACAGGGTAGTACCTACCTATGTCGACGGGCTGCGTGTACAGCTCCTCTAAACTCGATAGGGAGCGGAAAAGCCTCAAAACAGGCTGTGGACATTGGAGACGATCCTCGGTCAAAGTGTGATACCTGGGCTGGTGTCAAGTGGGCGGCAAAAATCCGGGATATCGCGGAGATCGTGCGGAATCTACACATGCATAAGGTATCACTCCTAGTGTTGTACCAGTGAAGATGGTAATGGCCCTTGGTGGATCGCCGTGGCGGCCGTACGTGTTTTGGAAGCCAAAAGATCTGAGTATCTCCTACGTATGAATATCGTGCCTTGGATCCAACGAGCATATATATAGAGGGCTCGAAGCGATTTACCTAGGTATTGTAGCGCTGCGCATTGGCACTTGAGTCGCTGATCGGACGACATGGTACAAATAGTATCCGCTTTGATTGATTGTCTCTACACGGTGAATCCGTGGAACGTGTGCAAGATTTGATACATAGGTGCCACCGATACCATGCATGATGTGCGCTTACAGCCGCACATCACGAACCCCGTGATCGCCTATGAACACCCTCTGCCCACCGGACCACGAGCGTCAACCGGCCACTACTTCCACGATGGACCCTCTTTCGATTGCCCCATCGGTAGCATGGTTGTTGCAGGTCGGAGCCAAGGTCATCGGCTTTCTTTCCACCGCGATCGACGCCCCCAGCACTGCCCGCAACACTCTCGTAGAAGTACAAGCACTCCACGGGATATTTCGCTAGCTGGACGACTTCATCGTAATTTTCGCCCAACAGAGCATAGCTCGCAAATCCAGGATTGCAATCGACGACCTGGTTGTCATCCTGACGGGCTGCGTGTGTAAATTCTCTGAGCTAGATAGGGACCTCAAAGGCGTCAAGACGGACTACGCCTACAGCACCAAATATCAGTTTCGGCCTTGGGACAGCGTCAAGTGGGCAGCCAAAGAACAGGATATCGCCAAAATACTGCGGAACCTACAGATGCATAAGACTTCGCTGAATCTATTGCTGTCGGTTTATGCATGGTTAGTCTAGGGTCCCGTCGATGATACTTCCCCGGGGCTCCACCCAGCCCTTCCCGAAGCCTGATCTCTTTCGCACACGGCCAACACGTGCGTACGAATAGTTGCTGATACAGAGCTTATTACCTAGTGCATCAACTCAGCAACTGCAACCCGACATGAAAGAACTGAAGCAGTTCATGGTGACAGTCAGGGAGGCGGTCCCGGACCTTGTCGAGCGTATAGCAGCAGCAACTCCTCTTGAGCGTAACGACGATGCATTGCTAGGCCTTTCGGCAGCATCTGGACACGGCTTTTGCAGAGTTCTGGCTGAGACTCGGGTATAAAAGAAAGCGGCTATGGACTCATCAGCTAGTTCTTTCAAGACCACCCGCACGACGGAATCCAAATAGTCTCAGCTCACCGGTCTGAGCCTGGCCCAGATATCGAATATATCCGTCCTCTATCTTCCGGTATACAGTTGCGAGCTGAATAACGGCAGTATGTATGACCAGGGGAAAACCGGCGACAGCGGGGCGCAACTACAGAGCATCACGGGTGGGTTGCTCTCCTTAGGAAGGATTAAAAAGCCATGGAAACGCCACCGCAAGATCACCACCACCACCACGGTTCGGCATCGCTTGGCCCCAGTTACAGAGCAAGTCATTACACTACACGAAGCAGCTCGCCAGGGAGATGACATCACGGTCAAGGCTCTTCTACAAACGCCAGGTGTCGACGTTGAGTCCCGGGATGGCGAAGGCTTTACGCCACTGCACATAGCGGTGTACATCGGACACGTAGCTACAGTGCAGCTACTTCTCGACCGGAATGCCGATGTCGACGCTAGGTTCGACTCCGGCTGGACACTACTTCACTTAGCAGCCCGCTACGGACATAGACCTACAGTGCAGCTACTGCTCGACCAGAATGCCGACATTGAAGTCAAGTAAAACCGGCATGCTACGGCATTGCACTTAGCGGCTCAGTACGGACACATAGCTACAGTGCGGCTACTGCTCGACCGGAATGCCAACATCGAGTCCACTAACGATAAAGATCGGACACCGCTTCACCTAGCAGTCGACAAAGGATCCACAGCTACAGTGCGGCTTCTGCTTGACCGCAATGCCGACATTGAAGCCAAGGGAAAACAAGGTTTTACAGCGTTGCTCTTAGCGACCAAAAGCGGACATATAGATAGAGTGCGGCTGCTGCTCGATCGGAATGCCGACGTCGAAGCCACGGACCACAACGACTGAACATCACTTCAGTCAGCAACCCGCTTCGGACACACAGCTACAATGGAGTTACTGCTCGACTGGAATGCGGACATAGAGGTGATGACCATCCGAGGATTCACCGCGTTGCACATGGCGGCTGAGGACGGAGACACAGCTAAAGTACAACTACTGCTCGACCGTAATGCCGACATCGAAGCCAAAGAAAACCGGGGTTCTACGCCGCTGAACATAGCGACTCAACAAGGACACACAGCTACAGTCCAGCTACTACTCGACCGGTGTGCCGAGGCCGTGGACAACGACTGGACACATGTTCACCTGGCAGTCCAGAACGGACATGCAGATGCATTGCAGCTTCTACTTAACCTGGGTGTCGATATCGAAGCCAAAGGCAAATACGACCGGACGCCACTTCACGTGGCGGCGCTTTATAAGTGGGATGCTATAATACAACTACTGCTCGACCACGGTGCTGTTGTCCACGCCAGAGATAGGCACGGCTGGACGGCTCTGCAACTAGCCGAAAATAATGGGCACGAGGCCACGGCACAGCTGCTTCGACAGTTTGCAATTGGCACCCCTAAGGAGGACCAGGCTGCGGTTGCTGGTTCGGTTTCCCGGAACAGGCGCAAATGACGACGCCGCACGATTGGTATGATACTATTAGCAAGATGGGCAGCTGTCGGACCTGTACATAGCAGTAGAAACAGTGTAATACATACTGGCTTCGCTTCCAAGTTCCAATTCACATTTGTTGCCCGAGCTAGGTACTCAAGATAGCCCGCCACCGAGCGGCCACCTCATCGCCGAAAAGTGCGCAGCAAACCACGACCTTCTGCTAATCCTCCGGTAACAAGTCGGAGCTGAGGATGTGTGAGGTGAGAACAGGCACTGCCGAGGGGCGGCATGTGGCGAGCACAGATAGGTAGAATCACACATTATATGGTGGTGCCGTATGGCGAGCAGCCTGCAGGCCCCCATGAATACCTTTTGAAGCACTGTAGGTAGTGCCCGGAGGGTGAAGCAAAACATCCTATTGTACGTACGAGGTCGAACGAGTGACTGGCAAGGTGAGGTGCACCGTGCGAACCCATATGGCCGGATACCCATCAGAACGGGTTTCTCTAGGACTGTCGTAGTTATGATTCTCAGGCCAAGGGCAAGTCGTGGCCACCACCGTCATATCGCCGTAAGTGCCAAAGTAGTTGCTCCCGCACAAATCTCATTAACTATATCTCACTCGTTTCGCTGCTGCCTGCTGGTTTATGACCGTAATGGGACTAGTGTGTAGATCATAGTCACGTGACGTGGGCGGCTGGCCGCCACCATCGGACTGGGACCAACCCTGTCAGGCGCCACCTCGGACCGGACGGACTACCTCCAAACGGTCTGGACGGCCGTTCGGGCCGGACTACGGAGCACACTGTCCTCGGCATCGCTAATGCGAGATCCCCGTGGATCATACTCTGGTTGGTCCCGAAGGATATTACTAATGCGACAACCTAGAGTATAAGGAAGACCGGGCGTCGCACAAGGCTGCCAGCAGCGAGGGGAACACCTAGAGGGATGGGGGTGGTGGGGGCGGGTGAGTGACCCGACTCCGCAACAGGCCGCCTACTGTGCATACCAAACACCACGCCGCGCGCACACCGACCTATCGTCCGTCCTCCAACCTTCGACCGCTTACATACAAGCTGCCGTTTCCTCGATGAATCGCCTCTCGGTTCCCGCATCGGTCGCGGGGCTACTGCGGGCCAGCACAACGATCATCAGTGTTATCTCCGCCGCCGTCGACGCTCCCCGCACTGCGCGTAACGTGCATGACGAGGTGCAAGCGCTGCACGCGATTCTCCGGCAGCTGGACGACTGCATAGTCGGCCGTTTCGCCGAGCCGGAGAGCATGGCGCGAAAATCGCAGATCTATGTCAACGATCTGGTCGTTACTCTGGCCGGCTGTGTGCGTACTGTCTCGGATCTGGATAAGGAGCTTGGGGGTGTAAGGGCGGCTGGCAGCGGCAACAGTAATAGGCCTCAGCGTAGGCGCTTGGAGGGTGCTAGGTGGGCCGCGGAGGATCCGGATATCGCAAAGATACTGCGGAACCTGCAGATGCTCACGATAGCTTTGAGCTTGTTGCTGTCGGTGTACACATGGTTAGTCCTGGGTCCTCACCGATGTGTGATGGCAACTCCCATACCTAGGCGACACCCAGCCGTTTAAGGCGGATTGATGATCTCTCTCCCGTCCAGCCGTTGCGTTTCTACGTATCACTGCTGACAAAGATTAGTACTTCAACGCAAAAACTGCAAGACGCCATGGCAGAACTCGAGCAGTCTCTGACAGCTGTCAGGAAGACGTTCCCGGACGTCGCAGAGCCCATGATAGCAGGAATTCTAGCGGAGACTAGGGAATACACCAAGGCGTGGAAGAACGATTCATCAAGCTCTTTCGAGACCACCGGCACGATGGATTCCAAATGGTCCCAACGTACTGGGCTGAGCTTGGCGCACATCTCAAAAATATCGTTCCTCTGTCTTCCTATATCCATTTCGGAACTAAATAATGGTTACATGTATGCCCAGGAGAAATCCAGCGACAGTGTGGTGCAACTTCGCAATATCCGGAGTGCATGGCCCTCTGTGGAAGGACTTCAACGGCTACGGATGAGCGGCAGCACCATCACCACCGTTATTCGACACCGCTTCACACCCGTGAACGAAAGGGTCACTGCGTTGCATGATGCAGCTCGTAAAGGAGATAACGCCACTGTCGAAGCGCTTGTACACAGGCTGGGCGTCGATGTAGACTCCCGGGATTGGGAAGAAGAAAGTTCGGCGCTGCACAGGGCAGTTGTTTCAGAGAAGATCGATACTGTGCAGTTGCTGCTCGAACTCGGGGCTGATATCGAGGCCACGGAACCCGACGACTGTACACCGCTCCATCGGGCGGCACAAAACGGACAAACAGCTATAGTGCAGCTACTACTCCACCGCGGTGCCGATATCGAGGCTAAGGATAACGTTGGTTCCACGGTGCTTCACACGGCCGTTGACCATGGGCGTGCAACTACAGTGCAGCAGTTGCTCGACCACGGTGCCGGCATAGAATCGAAGGACAACAACGGTTGGACATCACTTCACCGGGCTGCCTGGAAAGGTCATCTACATACAGTAGAGCTGCTGCTCGACCTTGGGGCCGACATCGAGGCGAAGACCAACAGCGGTCACACGGCATTTCATCGAGCAGCTTGGAACTGGAACACTACGACAATCCGATTACTAATCGACCGTGGTGCCAACATCGAAGCTACGACAAACCGCGGTCATACGGCGCTTCGCCGAGCTGCCCTGAATGAGCTCACTAGTGGTACAGTGCGGCTACTGCTCGCCTGTGGTGCTAATATCGAGGCAAAGGGGAACAACAGTCATACGGCGCTTCACCGAGCAGCTTTGGACGGACACATAGCTACAGTGAAACTACTGCTCGAACTTGGTGCCGACATTGAGGCCAGGACCAACACCAGTCACACGGCACTCCACCGAGCGGCCTTGCACGGGCACACCACTATAGCGCAGCTACTTCTCGACCGAGGAGCCGACATCGAGGCCAAGGCAACCAACGATTGTACGCCGATCCACCAAGCGGCACAGAGTGGGCACACAACTACATTAAGGTTGCTGCTCGAATGCGGTGCTAACATCGAGGCTAAGACGAAAAGTGGTCGTACGGCCCTTTACCAAGCGGCCCAGGGCGGATACACAGTCGCAATACGGCTACTTCTTGACCGAGGTGCTGAAATTGAGGCCAAGACCGATGAGGGCTTCACGGCACTGCTCACAGCGGCCTACGAAGGACACGGAGCGACAGTGCAGCTACTGCTCGACCGGGCTGCCGATACTGAGGCTACGACGGATCTGGGCTTTACCGCGCTGCACGCAGCGACTCAGAACGGGCACATAGATACAGTACAGCTGCTGCTCGACTCGGACGCCGACATTGAGGCCAATCAGAGCGGCAACTGGACACCGCTTCACCGAGCGGTCCAGAACGGACACATAGCTACAGTGCAGCTACTACTGGACCGCGGCGCGAACATTGAGGCCAACGCCAACAGCGGCCACACGGCGCTTCATCGAGCGGCCATGAACGGGAATCTAGCCATAACCCAGCTGCTGCTCGACCGTGGTGCCGACATTGAGGCCAAGCAGAGCGGCGATTTGGCGCCGCTTCACCTAGCGGCACAGAACGAACACACGGTTGTAGTGCAGCTACTACTCGACCGCGGTACAGACATCAAGACAAGGGACAAGGACGGCCGGACACCGCTTCACCGGGTGTCACGTGATGGGTTCCCTGATATATTGTAATTGCTACTCGACCGCGGAGCTGACGTCCAGGCCAAAGATCAGTACTGTTGAACGCCGCTGCCCCTAGCTGTAGAGAATGACAATCATGCCGCAGCACAGGTGCCGCGTGGGCTAGAGGCTATAGACACTAGTGGCTCCAATACGCCCGTGCTCCCCATCGGAACTTCGTAGAGAGACCCACGAGGTACGCCTGCTGGGGACATGGACTGACTACGAGACCACGTGATACACAGTACATAGTAGTAACATTAGTAGTCGTACATAAGAGTTGTGGCAGTCGCAGCGGAGGATCGGGATGGGAATGCCGTAGGTACGTGCGAGTGGGAATTTCTTCCGTACTCTCGCCTGTTGAATAGGTATTTGTATATTACATTCGCTGCCGGGTGGTTCGAGATCGCTATGCCCCACAGGACTCCTAGTAGTTAGCTGCCCCCCGGCTGTGACTGGGAGTTGTCTGCCACCACCATGGGAGGAGGGATGTAGGATAGATGGGCGATCAGATAAGATAGGAGGATGAGCTAGTCAGATCGGTGTATCCGAATGGTAGGGAGAGCCGAACTAGCCGGATCGGGTGGCACCAAACGTTCTAGGCAGCAGAGGAGAGCCATATTCGATGGTTCTTCGAAGTTGAATACAACCCCAACTTTTCCATCTTGTTTATTTTCACCGTTCCCTCTGCCGGGCTATGTCATCATACCCGCAGTACGCCAGACATGGAGCCGTACGATTAGCCTTCGATATTTTGAGAAGCGTTCTGCACACGATTTAGGTTCGCAATCCGCCACCACGTGCACCACCGCCGCCGCGTCCGACGGACTCGGTGCCTTCTGGCGTCCTGCCCGATGTGTCCAAGTGCTCCGGCGGGTTTTCAAAAGAAACGTTGCCAATGGCTGCATGCCGCTCGTATCTAGCTACCGGTACCGCTAAGCCACGAGGCTCCTAGATAGGTGTTTCGCAGGGCTGTGCATCTGCGGGGAATATTGTGGTATATAATGACACTGGATCTCTACCACCAGCCGGCGTCCAATAGGTAGCTCACTACACACCCATACTTTGGTTAGCAAGTCATGGACCCTCTTTCGGTTGCAACGTCAGTTACGGGACTATTGCAAATCGGAGCAAAGGTCATCGGGCTCCTTTCCACCACTATCGACGCTCCCAGTACCGCGCGTAACGTGCTCGCCGAGGTCAAATCACTGCACGCGATCTTTGGCCAGCTGGAGGACTTCATAGTCCACTTCACTGAGCAGAGCATGGCCCGGAAATCTAGAATCTACGTCGAGGATCTGGTCGCTACTTTGACGGGCTGTGTGTGCACTTTCTCCGAACTCGATAAAGAGCTCAAGGGCCTCAAGACCGACCACAGCGACGATCCCAAGTCCAAGTTTGGTATCTGGGATCGCGGCAAATGGGCGGCAAAAGACCAGGATATCGCGAAGATTCTGCGAAACCTGCAAATGCATAAGACATCTCTGAGCCTGTTACTCGGCATTTACACATGGTAGGTCCAATAATTTCCGGTTTATCCCCCACCTCTTATGCCCCATGACCGCGTGTATGTACATGCTACAGACATTTACGGTGTACCTTAGTTCGTCGACGCAGCAAGTGCAACGCGACATGGCCGAACTGAAACGATTCATGACGGCAATCATGGAGGCGAATCCGAGCCTCGAGGCGCGCATGGTGGATGCTTCGTCGGGGGATGATGATGTATCCTCGGTTCGTTCCCGAACTTCGATCCTCTCCACAATATCGGAAAGGTGCTTTCGCCATTTCTCAACCGAGCATGAGCAGACTCCGGTTGAGAATGGAGTGAATAAACAGGCAGCCGGAAATTCAGCAATCGGCTCTCTTAGGAGCATCCGAACGTCGGATTCTAGGTCGAGCCAGCTCAGTGGGCTGAGCATGGCCCAGATTCCGAACTTATCGATCATTTGTCTTCCAGTAAATATTTCCGAGCTGAACAATGGCGACATGTACAGCCGGAGCGGGAGGGAAACTGGTGGCCGCGTGGCCGGAGAGGGGCTCATTGTGGGGCAATTGCAACGGCTTCGAAAGGGCAGCATCAATCTTACCACCTCAGTTCGATATCACATGACACCCTATAGTTCCAGGACGTCTCTGTTACACGCCGCCGCTGGCAGGGGAAACACCATCGCCGTCATGTCGCTCGTACAAAGTCTGGGCCTCAGCATCGAGGCCATAGACACCACTGCAGGAAGAACTCCGCTTCACTTCGCAGTCATCAACGGGCATACCGATACAGCGAAACACCTACTCGACCAGGGCGCTGACATAGAGGCCGAGCAGGCGGAGGCGTCTCGGAGGCCGCTTCACTTAGCGGCTTGGGGCGGACACACAGCTACAGTGCAGCTTCTTCTCGACTGGAATGCCGACATTGAAGCCAAGGAGCTCCACGGTTTTACGGCGCTGCAGTTCGCGGCTCAGATGGGACACACAGCTACAGTGCAGCTACTGCTCGACCGAAATGCCGGCATCGAAGCGATAGATAATGACTCCTGGACATCGCTTCACCACGCAGTCAGAAACGGACACACAGCTACAGTACAGCTTCTGCTCGACCGTAATGCCGATATCAAAGCCACGCGATTCGGGGGTGCTACGGTGCTGATCGTAGCGGCACATTACGGATCCACGAATACAGTGCGGCTACTGCTCGATCGGAATGCCGACATAGAGGCCAAGAATGACAAAAGTTATACGGCACTACTCGCAGCGGCTGGAGACGGACACACAGCTACAGTGCAGCTTCTGCTCGACCGGAATGCCGACATTAAAGCCAAGGAGCTCCACGGTTGTACGGCGCTACAGTTGGCGGCTCAGATGGGACACACAGCTACAGTGCAGCTCCTGCTCGACCGGAATGACGACATAAAGGCTACGACGAAAGACGATTTGACACCGCTTCATCTGGCAGCCCGGAACTTTGACCCAGATACAGTGCAGTTACTGCTCGACCGGAATGCCGACGTACAGGCTACGACGAAAGACAACCGTACACCGCTCCACGAGGCTGCCGCGTACGGAAGATACAAGACATTGAGGCTATTGCTCGATCGGAATGCCGACATAGAGGCCAAGACCAGCCGGGGTCTCACAGCACTGCTCATAGCGGCTGAGGGCGGGCGCATATATGCAGTGCGGGTACTGCTTATCTGGAATGCCGACATAAAGGCCACGGATAGAGACGGCTGGACAGCGCTTCACCTGGCGGTCCAGAGCGGACACACAAGTATAGTGGATGAACTGCTCCGCCGGAATCCCAACATAAAGGCCAAGACCAGCCTGGGTCTCACGGCATTGAATATAGCCACTCAAAAGCGCTATTCAGATATCGTGAAGCGACTGCTCAAAGCGATTGCTGCCATGGAGGAGTGAGACCGACGATAAGTACAATTTGTCGCTGTTTCCCTTGGCTGCCGTTAGCGGGAACGCGGCTAATTGCTACTGGAATGCAGGTGTGCCAACGTCGAGGCATAGTCCAAGATCGGTTGAAGAGGGCGAAATAAGAGGCCGGATGATGGCCGAGAATAGGAGTTTTATGTAAGGAATGAAGATGTCGTTTGGGCGGATAATTTTTGGGGATGAGGTGGAATGAACGGTTTCTCTAGTTATCCCACGAGTGACCAATCATGCCGCACACAGGCGGTCCCTGTGTCCCTCCGACCCCGGCTGGGCCGTATCGACCCTACTCTACTCTGTGGCTACTCAAAGTATAGTACCTAGCTCCGCATCCACTACAGGCTGCGATTGACCGTTCGCCTTTCGTACTGCCGCTTCGATCCGCTTCACATCAAGTTCCAAGGGGGAGGGAGGGCACAGAGGAACCGAGGAACAGCCTGCGCTGATACCCACGCACGGGCGAGTGCGTGGAGGTACCCAGGGATGCCGAAGCGAATACGCCGGTTGAGATTATATACTCTATGTCCTGTACGATGCACACTCGACGCTCCGAGTCCGAGTCCGAGTCCGGGTTGCGCGAGTGCCAGTGCGTGATCGCGCCGAGGGGTTGGACTGGTTTTCGCGCGCTTGACGCCGTCCGGGAGGAGGAGAGAGGATTCGCACGAGTTGAGTGCCCCAGGGCCGAGTCCGTATGCACATACTCTACATATCCTCCGCCAACCAAACCAGAGTGCGATCGCAGCGGGCAAACAGCATCTTCACACGCAAGCACTCACTCTTTTCCACAACTGGACGGGACGGTCACGAACCCCGCCCGATCCGACACAAGTTACAACCACCACCAACGCGCGTTTGGAATGCGGCGAGGCATGGGCGGGGTATGTATCATACAGGTTGTAAGAGAGCCTGGTCCAACGCGACCAGTCATCTCCCGCCAGCGAGGAATGTGTTTGGATCGATCTTGAGGACACGGGACACGGGACAGCGAGCGAGGGAGGGAGGGCTGTAGCTTCTCTTGGACGACAGATGGTGGGTCTTCTGATTCGAGAGTGTAGCCGTGGTTCTCGGCGCAGAACATACCCCAGCCCTGGGGGGCCTTAGACATGATGCTTATCCGCTTTCACAGAGCAGCTAGAACTATCCTGGAGCGAGAACGACCCCCCCCCCCCCCCCCCCCCCCCCCCCCCCCACCCTCAATCCACTGGAGTCCCGCCGTCACATCATAGCCAATAGGTAGCAGCCAAAGAGTGGAGGTGGAGGGGCGAGACGATACGATACGAGGCGAGCCGCTTCCCCACTACCTACTCTAGAGCAGCTAGCCAGCTTAGCTAGCTGAGCACACTCGCAGCCCGCCCGTACTGCACTGGCACTGCACTGCAAATCTCACGGTTCAAGATTCTCAGCTCCGACGCTCAATCTGCTGTATTCAGAGTAGTGCATGAATGTGCGCAACGATGCGCAACAATAGATAGAGAAGAGGGAGGGGAATGGTAATGGAGACTAACTAAACGGAGCGGACCAGTGTCCCACATCCGTGCAAGATCACGACAACCACAACAACAGCTCGGATAGCGGCTTGCCTGAGACAACTAACAAGCGGCGACTAAACTCCACCTCCACCACACCTCAGGAGCCCCGCTCGGGAGTGAACAACGGGCGAAAAGAAGGAAATCACGTCCCCGACGCCCGTGTTACGTCGATATCTAGCGGCAACGATATGAAACAAACGCACATTACCACCTACTGGCAGCAGTACTGCGCCCGTTGACGCGAGGCGAGATGCCCTGACCTTACCACATACCCACATATCGACCTAGAGTACATACCCATCTCATCTCCAGCATCCGCGCGCCAGGGTGAATTTCTGGGGAAGCCCAGTCCAGTGCAGTCCAGTGCAGTCAGGACGCGGGCGGGAGGGGAGGGGAGGGGAGGGGATGGGAGGGGATGGGATGCATGCGAGATCTAGTTACTACCGAGCAAAACATGGAGTATGATAGTAGATAGAGATATGATCCGCGCGGCTGAACCCATGGACAGCGGGCTTACGGTGCAGTTGCGGGGCGAGAAAACTATAAGTCCCAATGCGTCAAGGTGGCGTCTAGCAGAAGCAAAATTGCACTTCAGGAATGTGGAGTGCATGCATACGGTATCTACACACGTACATAGAATACACATGGGCATGGGCATGAGCACGAGCACGGGCATAGGGTGGTCAGCGGGGAGGAGCTGGGTGCATCGCGATGGTTCTGATGCCTTTTGGCGAGGGTTTTCACCATGAGAATTCCAATTACAAGTCATCCAGAACTAGACTCGGCACTGAGCAACATCTGCAAATTTCGCTGCGAGTGTGTATGTGCGTACCTGCTGTAAGTACCTGTACATTGGTACTTGTGATTTGACCGGTGTTTGTTCCCGTGAGCAGATATCTCCCATACCATACCAACTATATACATGCACGCCCTCGCCAAGTATGTACTTCAGAGACACGCAGAACCCGGGAACGAACGGCAGAGGAATTCGTACAATACATGCATACATAGGATTCGACCTCTTGAGCGACTCACAGCCCATCACTCCGGCCTGGAACCTGGCGAGGCAGATTCGACTCGATTCGATTCGCCAGGCGAGGCCTCGCGAGGCCTCACTTTTGGCCCCCAACGCGCAAGTTCAACGCCCACGGATCCGAGTGGTTCGGATTGACGAATTGGCGAAATTCAAAACTCATGCAGCATCCGTGCCGATGTGATGTGATGTGATGGGACAACATGATACATATCTCAGCTACATAGGTGCGGACGTAGGTAGGTGGGCTAGCGATCAGGCGTCCCCCCTCCCCCACTTCACCTATAACATCGAGCCGGCAGGGAAAAACGAACGAACGAACGAACGAACGAAAGAACGAACGAACGGATACGGTATCTACGGATGCAGTTGGATCATGACAGCTCACGCCATGTACTCTACATCTCAACATACGTGTATGTAGCTACCAGATACCTATGATAGGTAGAGTACAATTAGGCTACCGTTTATCACACCCGCACCTGCACCATCCGTGCCGTATCATGTATGTAACTAGAGCTATGGAGACTCGTCGCATTGATCAAGACCATGGTGGGCGGCCACGACCGCGACCGTGACTGCCCCCAATCCATCATTATATTGCGCTACATATGATAGTTTACATATAACCAATCGTTGATCATCTTGCGTGATTTCGTGCTGCAATAGTTACAGTAGTTAGCGAACCCCCCTCCCCCCGTCCCCCACCAGGCCCCTCCCCCTACCCCCAGCTCTGTAGAATAGTATAGTAAATACCAACAGCTCCGTTAAGTAGAGTTCCAACAGCTCCGTAGACCAGGTATGTATCCAGAGGAGAAACCAACAGAGCTCAACATGTTGGATCTATCTAACATCTCATATCATATCATATCGCGTTCCGCCTTGTCCCGTCCCGTCCACTTCGACTTGAATTCGCCCCATCTTCTCTCACCCTCACCCCCACCCCCATCTCCCCCCATATCCATATCCATCCTAGGTACTCTACTAGTTATTAGAGCTAGTTAGTAGAGTTAGAGCCGACAGGCACGCGAGGGGTGGCGACTCGCGAGAACGCAGACCGACCGCAGAACGCAGATTAGCGAGCCTCGCATTCGTCCTCGTTCCCTCGCTTGGCAGGCAAAGTGCAAAAGGAAGAATGAACGAATGGCGAGGGTCGATGAAGCGCCCTGCCACTGTGCCAGTCCGTGTCGTGGAAAGAAAATGAAATGATTTTGCGAGTCCGTCCCTCGCAATGGGGGCGGAAGATTCTTTCCGATACTCTGCACAGTGCACAGTGCACACGGCGCACTCGACTCCTGCGCAGGAAACCACTCCGTTTGATGGACCAGCAGGCGCCTTCGACGACACGACGACAACGACGACAACGACGACGCGAATGCGTGCATAAGTGAGTTTATGCACTGAGGAGAGCAAGACTTGCAGACTTGCAGACCCGCAGAGCGTATGCATCGAATACATATCTCCAGTAGAGTACAGTAAATCCCGACGCGACGTGGAGTCGTGGAGTCGTGCAGTCGTGGACTAGCAGGACAGTTTCTGCACAGCGGGCGCTTAGAAGTTATCTAGAGCTCGGGTCCGGGTTCATCCATCCATCCATCCAAACCATCCTTCCTTCCATCGTGCAGGCAGGCCCTGGAGCTAGTTGCTCGTAGAAGTAGTTTAACGGGCCACGAGAAAGCTGCAGCACCAGCACCAGCAGCAGTACCTAGACCGGCGGGCTGTGGAATCTGGATTGTTCTTCGGGGCGGGGTACGCGTACTCTACATACACAGAGTACATGAGAAGGGTGGGGAGGGGGAAAACGGTATGTAGCGACTGATCGCGAAAGCTGCTCTAAAGCTAAAGTATATCATACTTACATTGATGCCTATTTTTCCTCGGCGGCGGCAATCTCACGATACCGTACCGCTGATGCGCTGATGCGCTGTTAATGCCGATGCGGATGATGCATAACCTACTACCTACGGAGTATAGGAGGTATGTATGCATACCTCTTCTGTTGTTTGTAGTATCTAGTGGTGGTGGTGGTGGTGGTGGTTAACCATCGGCCGTGCTTGCAGTCTGAGGAAACAGAAACAGAAACGCACACAGAGAAACAGAAACGCACACAGAGAAACAGAAACGCACACAGAGAAACAGAATTGCATACAGCACAGAATCCCAGACGATGATGATGCAGCTGTCTTGTGCTTGCAGCGAGTGCTCACAGAACAGCGAGTTGCCCAGAAAAGTAACCTCGGTCTTTTGGTCGTCGGTCTTCGCCGCTCACGCGTCGACATGACGCTAGCGAAAACAAAAGCAGCAGGCACTTCCGGTCCCACCGGTGAACAGAGCAGAATAGGTAGAACAGAACAGGACAGGAAAGAACAGGAATGAGAAAAAAAGAAGGAAAAAGTAAGTCGGGTCGGTGCCCGGGTGAGGAATGGAGGGGAGGGAGGGGAGAGATGGGGGGGAGGGGGCCGTCTCGCTACCAAACATTACGACACATAGATAGAATGTAGATACCGGTCGGCGGTAGATGTCTGTTGGTTGTGTATGTGTGACGGCGTGACCTCTTTCTGTCATCAGCTTGTGAGAGTGCACTTTTGTTTGCGATGGGTTTCGGGTTCGCATTGGTAGGTGGGTACTTGGGTACTTGGGTACTTGGGTACATGGGGAATCATCGTTGCTTCACCGGTACCCCAGTCCTCCAGTATGTATTCCAATACCGCACCATGCCCTCGCTCCCTCGCAGAGTCTCGCAGAGGCTCGCACAGTCTGCCTGCAGTATCCATCATAGTACCCGTAGAGCTGGACCGGTGTCCCCACTCCAGCACATCATGAGACTCCGTCCAGCTGCACGTACGTACCCGCCGGCAGCGCCTACGCCCTCTTTTGTGTCTTTTGTCTTTGACAACGGCCAGTCGTGCCCTCCCCTCTGCGGCGGCAGTTCCCAAGCACAGGCTCCGTGTACCGTAGCTGCGCCGCTGCGCTGCAGGGTCGTGGAGAAGACAAGCAAAAGAGAAGGAAAGAAAAGAGAAGGAAAGAAACGAAAAGCACACAGCAGCAGCAGCAGCAGCAGAAGCACAAGTTGTACGGTGGTATGGACGGTGGTATCCGTGAGTTACTGCATACCTATGATGGGTGCATTCAAACTTTTCTCTGTGCATATCATATGTCAATATGCGGGGCCTGTGAGCGACTCGAGTCTCGGGTTCGTTTGCTCGCCGCTCGATGCTTCGGCGGCAAATACTCAGCTTTCAAGAGCAAAGAGCAAGAGCAAGAGCAGAGACAGGGCTACTGACGAGCGTGCACGGTTATTGACTACACGCACGCACGTAATCTACCGGTGCCTTCTCACTCGCATCGCTTGGTTGCTGCTTGCTGCGTTGCTGTACTCGATCGGGCGGTTGCTTCTTGCTTCTTGCTTCTGCTTCTTGCTTCTGCTTCTTGCTTCTGCTTCTTGCTTCTGCTTCTTGCTTCTGGCGCATGTGCTTTGCTTCGCTGAAGCCTGAAGCCTGAAGATGCATCGCACACCGCACACCGCACACCGCGCACAGAGCAGTGAGCGCGCGAGAGCTCGAGCTCGAGCTCGAGAGAGGAGCAGGAGGAGGAGGAAGGAAGGCAAGGAACCGACCAGTCCAACCGGCACCTCACCAGCAACCAACCAGCAACTCCCGTGCGCTCTCCACCGTGCACACTGCAAAAGCTTGAGAGAGGGTGCACACTTCTTACACACATTCCGCACCACACCGGATCGCCTCACCTCGCATCGCATCGCATCGTATCGCCGCCCAATTTCCTGGTCCTCGCCATGGCATGGCATGGGCTGCTCTGCTGCTCTGCGGCGCTGCGAATGCGAAGCATGAAGCCAACATGATAGCACAACCACTGACCACCGACCACGGACCCACCTGTAGCGCTTCGGAAGAATTTGCGATTCCCCCCCTCAGTAACCATGTGGCCATGTGGCAGTGTCAATCGGCCACACCGCGACGATAACCGGATTACACCCGCACCGCAGTGTTCAGCCCTGACCTGCTTTGCGCGCGACGAGGCCAGCAAGCAGGCCAGCAAGCAGGAAAAAAAACAAACGGACTGGAGCAGTGGAGTAGTTACCTTGTGGAGCCTTCGCGGTGCCGTCGCTTGGAGCCACCCAGAACCGGAGTTTGCAAGTACCATACATGCAATACTCAGATCCTGCCCCATGTCTTCGATGACGTCCACCTCCCCCGGCGCGATGGGATGGGACTTCAGCTCATGCCATGGCCAACTAAGGACTTATCGATATCGGCCCCAGAGTTCCTTGTCCATGCCCATGTCCTGGTCCATTCCTTGCCCTTGCAATGTCCGTGTCCATGTGCGGGCCCATGTGCGGGCCGGGGACAGCGGCCTGCGGAATGGAGGCGCGGGATGGAGGCGCGGGATGGAGGCGCGGGATGGGCTGCGGGTTGGGCATGCTTTATCGGTTCTGGATTTAGGCGCACCTACTCTACATAGTAGAGTACTACATACCGTATTCCAGAGTCTATGTAGAGTGCAGCACAGCGCGGTAGGCAAGTACTTCTCACTTCTTACATACTTCCTTATGTAGAGTACCGGTAACTACTTGATCAGTATGTACTCGAGGCTGCATATCACAAATTCACATTCACAATCACAATCACAATCACAATCACAATCACAATCACAATCACAATCACAATCACAATCACAATGCCCCACCACCCTTCGCTGTTCCCCACAGCGCATGGAGGAGGAGGAGGAGGAGGACTGCCGGTAGATTCTTCCAGCACCCGCCGCCCATACATATCCCATATCCATCCGTATCCATCCATCCATCCCACGCATGCCATCTGCGCATGCATGATGATCGGAACGGAAGAACCCCCCCTCCCCCCTCCCAAGCCCGTCTACCGTCTCGTCCACTGGCCTGTGGACTCTTGAGCGAGTAGAGTCCACGCTCGCTCGCCGAAATCCCGCATCCCCGCCGATGCAGCAGCAGCAGCAGCAGCAGCAAACGCCGAGCGAGCGAGCGAGCAGGTAAGGTAATCAATCGCCGGCCCAGTTATGGCAATCCCGGCAGCAATCGAGGATTTCGCCGGGTTGCCGGTACGGTAGCTCTCTCTTTCTATGTATGTATGTAGCTAGATGTCTCTAACTAGATGTCTCGCGGATAATGGATCTGGTTTGGGAAGGGCGGGTGGCAGCAACGGACCGAACGGGAATGAAATGAACATGGAAAACATCATGACGGATATCCGGGCGCGCCGGGAAAGACGGAGGATCGAGAGTGGAGCACTCACTCGCTCGGGTCTGACTACGACTACGTCAGTGAGCTCTCTCTCTCTCTCTCTCTCTCTCTCTCTCTCTCTCTCTCTCTCTCTCTCTGTGTGTCTCTATGTGTGTCTCCTCCGCGGGCGGGTGGGTGGGCGACCAACAGTCCCGTCCACCCGTCCACCCGAAAGGCGAAAGGCGGAATCTACCACCCCCATCGCCACGGCCGGATAGAGTAGAGTAGATGACGAGAGATCCATCTCAGATCCGACGACGACAACGACGACGAGGACGCCAACCACGTTGTGAGCCAGCCATCTATCCAGCGAGCCAGCCAGCCGGTGATCGCAGCCCACCCACCTACTCTACTCTATGGTAAAAACTGGATATCCGATAGAGTGTTTGCGTTGCGGTGGATGCGAGTTGAGTTGGGTGGGATTGCAGACTGGGTGGTTACGTCAATACTTGTTCACTTCTCTGTCACCTTCCCTTCCCTCTCGGTTTTCCTTCCGTTGCTTTTCATAGCTTCATAGCTCCATAGTGAAGTCTGTAATATACAGCAGTATCTATAGTACTATCGCCATCGTCAGCCAGCCAGCCAGCCAGCCATACGGACGACTATTCCGACGGATTTTTCCTTCCCTCGAGTCGCACCCAACTTAGCATGTGAAGACAAAAAAACCTGCTTCGTGAACTGTTTGTTGGGTTGCAACTTGCGATCGTAAAATCGTAATGGCGGGCGCTAGCCTGCCAGGTGGGAATGTCAGAAGCGAATCCCACCCCCCTCCATAATTACCATACCCGATCGCCACTCGCACGAACCGTAAACTCGGAATGACCACCACCGCTTCGCAGAATGTCACTACCGGATACCGAGGACCGGCCGACGCGTGCGTGCGTGCGCGCGCGCGACGGATAGTATGTAGTTGAAGTGGGTGGTGGAGGGTGGAGGGTGGATCACGTGCTACTTAGAGGCACAAGCTATTCCATTCTCATGACCGTGAGTCCGTGACATTGACGTCGTCGTTGTCGTCGCTGGATGATCAATAACTACTCTAACAATAGTATTCTAGTTATTGGATCGCTGTGAAGTTTGAGGTTTGAGGTTTGAGGTTTGTCGTGCTGCATTGTGCTTCGTCAGATAATCCCTCTCTCTTTATTTTTTCTGCTTTCTGCTTTCGTGGCGTTGGTGGAGGTGGTGGAGTTGTGTACTGGTACAAAACTACCGAGGAGAATCGGCGAAGTTGGTGGGAAAAGGAAGGCTCTCTCCTACTCGTGGAACCGGGGCATGGTAGGCCGACCGACCTAGTCATGTGTGTGAGTACCGACCTGTGTACCGACCGACGACCGGCGACCGTCCGACGGACGGACATTTCGCCAGCCCATATTCCAGGCCAGCCCAGCCGTAACCATATCGTACATATGATACATTCCGGCAACCAGAGTACATATGATATGGAGAAATAACGGCCGCCCAATAGATCGTCTGCAGACTCCAGTGCAGACTCCAGTGCAGACTCCAATTGGAATTCCAATCGTCTTGCATGCCCGCCAATCGCCGGAAAAAGAACGGAAGGGAAATCAAAAGAAAGGAAAGGAACGGAAAGGAAAGGAAAATAGCTGGCTGACTGGCTGGCTGGCTCTCTGGCTGGCTGCCTGCCTTCACAGGGTGTACTGGTGTTTGCTGATTTGCCGGTTTGCTGATCTACGGTTTACATGCTCTACACACTCCACCTAGAGTACCTAGAGTGCTTCGGGGGCGAAGAAGCGGATGGAAATCCGAGCGAGCGTGCGAGCAGCAGCCAGAATTGCAAAGGCAAGGCAAGGCAAGGCAAGACAAGACAAGGCACATCGCCGAGTCGCCGAGTCGCCGACGGAATCACGGAACTGCCACTCTATGTAATTAGCAACCAGCCACGTACTCGCCACAGGAACCCGCCACATGTCCGGCGGAAGGCTCGGCTCGGCTGTGCTCTGCTGCGCTGTACTGTGGCGTGCCGTGCTGTGCTGTACTGTGGCGTGCTGTACTGTGGCGTGGCGTGGCTGCTTGGAAAGTGGGCGAGGCTGGAGTACGGTATCGGTACAGACGGTACGGTAAGGTATCGGCGGATCCGGCGATGAGTCTTCGTTTCGTCGGCGGTCTTACAAATCGCCCGACTGACCGCTCGTCACTGTCAGGAGCTGCGCCTTCAGCTCGTGTTCCCCCCCCCCTCTCTCTCTCCTTCTTGGGGTTTGCATACGAGAGGACGAGAGGATCAGGAAGGATACTTTTGGCAACCATCGTGAATCCGATGCTCTTTGTGGCTGCAAAACGTGTTGCTCGCCGGGAGCGGTGATTATTTTGCTCAGAGCCGCCGACCATAGAGTAGAGCGGAGTATGCATGTATGATAATCATTTCGCCGGGGCGGTTGTTCCAGTTGAATCCCTTGTCGTTATGATAAGTGCAACTAGCGTCGCCCAATTCACAACTCCCGAAGCCCCTCTCTCGAGGCTCGAGTCCAGTCTGCTGCCCCCAACTTCCAAGAGCACATAGAGTACTCTAGGAAAGAACCAGCGAAAATCTACCGCCGCGCGCGCCCCCGCTCCGCGCAGAAAGGGAGAGGCAGTGAGGGGAAAAGGCGTCTCGAACAATTCGATTTTCCGCTGTCGCCGTTGCGAAAGTGCACGGGGTTGCCTACCTGAGGTGGGTATATGGCTTCGGCTGGGTCCAGCTCAGCTCGCGCCTGCCAACGCAGCAGAGTTTTGGTTGTTTTTTCTTCGCGAGCTTTCCTTCGCCTTCGCCTTCGGAACACACGTGGCTACTACCTAGAGTAGTAGTAGTTTCGCACCGCTATGTGCTCGCGAAGGCGGGGCGAAGGGGGGTTACGCTGGGTTGGGTTGGATTCCCCAACTCGGCTGTCTATGCTATGCTAGTATCACAGGCACAGGGAACGTGAGAGCCTGAGAGGGTCTTCTGGCACGCAGACTGACCGACGAGCGGTAACGGATGACGTCTTGCATTACACGGAAAGAGGAAAAAATAAAAAAATTCTCCCGCTGCGTGTTCAACTGCCAGAGCCTACTCCGTGCTTGCCTGCCTGTCTGCCTGTCTGCCAGCCAGACTTCCGAGCACGGGTGACAACGGCGACGAGCAAAATCAAGATTGGGAGGGGGGGAGGCAGCAGCTGCGAGCCCCATCTGCCCGAGACGATTACTGCGCCAATGGCACAGTTTCGCATCATCCGGCCGCTTACTCGGAAGGCCCCGGCTGGGTCCCCCGCCCGCCACTTGTCGTCCTCCACGACCATCATAGAGTCATATATCGGAGCGAGGGAGCGAGAGAGGGGCAAGGCACGAGCTGGAGGAGGGGGGCTCTCCAAATGCATCCAGATCATATATAAAAACACACCCCGTCGCCGAGTAGGCTATCCCCTCGTTAGGATGCCCGCAACGATAGAAATCAACCACAGCCATACTGTTTGCACATCTCAGAGTTCGGACCCGCCGCCACCACCACCACCATTACAACTATTACAACTATCACCACTGTCAACACCATCAACCCCATCACCGCCATCACCATGTCGCAGATTATGACACCCATCATGTCCGACCTCAAGACGACCGCCTTCGGCATCTCGTCGCCGCGCTCGAGTACAGGAGGCGGATACTCCTGCGCCTACCCATCCTGGCCCAACCGACCAACACTAGACAGCCGCACACCGCTCCTAGCGCCTCCGTCCTCGGCCCCGAAGCATTCGATCCCGAGCGTCGAGTTCCTCGAGAGTCTCCGCCGTCGCCCGCGCCCCGACTCAGTATTTGACGACGACGAAGAAGACGAGGATGACGACGACTTTGTCATCTGCGGCGGCTCATCGATCACCAGCGCCTCATCCACCGCCTCGTCCGGCGGCCGCGGCCATATACTACTCCCACCGGCACGCACCGTCCAGCGCTCCAACTCCTTGCTCTCTCAAGCCTTCTCGCAGCTGCACCACCACAACCATCACCACGACTCCCGCAGGGCCGCGTGATGGAACGGA